GCCCCCTCTTCCTCTTTGAGGTTGACAACGGGCGTAGGCCTCTACTCCTCAAACGCCATCACGATAGCTTGGGAGGAATCTCCTATCTTCCTCTTCTTTGACCTTTTTTTGGCTTGACCGCTGATCCCTAGAGTGTTGACGCCTCCAATCTCTCTTGTGAAGACAAACAATCCGTAAGCCGAGGTGACAAGCATAATAGAAAAGAAAAATGACTAAGTGTTGAAGGATGACCTACCCTAAGGACTCATCTTGACCTAGATTAATGCCTCCTTGGTTAGGAAGTCCTCAACCCGTACCTTCTTCTAAATCAGGCTTGTCACTCATTCCTATAGGGTCTCGCTTAGGGAGATGTCCCCAATATCATTTGTGGCCGATCTCCACTCAGTATTAAAGGGTTATCTGCCGTTAGCACCAAGGAAGCACCAAGGAAGAAGAATCTCTTCTTCCACTCCAACACCTTGGATGGGAAGCCTCCTAACAACTTGTACCCAGGGTGATAAGATAGATAGAAGTTGTTTTTGTCAATGGGGTTTCTCTTTATGTAAAAGAGGCTTGTGAAGGTTTTGAGGTTTAGAGGAAAGCTAAAGTGGTGGCAGAATGAAATGGTTCCTACTAACATCCTAATAGAGTTTGGGTGGAGTTGGGCAATGGAAATGTTATAATACTCCAACACCTTGAAGAGATGGAGCAGGAACCTGAGCCTGGCCATCAGAGCCTGCTCGAAGACACAAACCTCGTTCTTCTCGTACTACCATGACATCTGACCACCTACGGGAAGCAAACACTCATACTTGTTTGGGATGTTAGAAGGGTTTAGAATCCATCATATTGATGGCCGAACCATGCTAGATGGCTGGGAAAATTTTCAAAATTTTTCAAACCCCTTTGTTAATCAATTTCCTAGTAAATTTGAAAATTGAATTTTTAGGATCAATCTTGCACTGAACTGGACCAGATTTGAAGCCAAATTAAAAGGGAATTATACCTGATATGGAGACCACAAATCGCAGCTCTCAAGGTAGAAGTTCACACCCAATATCAATCCCAAAATCGGCCTTCAACTGAAAATGGCATAGTGTAAGGAGAAACCGATTCAGTAACTTTGATCTCAACAAATCTAGTATCTAACTAGCTTGGACCGAGTGGGATGAGTGAGCCTGAGTTTCTTCAATTTTTTCTTGCAAAAACACTGGAGAAAACTATAGAAATCAGTTCTTGAAAAGGCTAGGTCATGATGGGTTTCTTGAGAGACAAGAGAGAAGAAGAGAGAGCAAGAGAATAAAGAGAACAAGTTTTATTTGCCCTCTTCCTCTTAACCCCCTTATATGGAGAACTCTCCTAATCTAGTTAGGAGATTATCCAAATTTGATTTGGATCTGGTAAACATTATCCTCTTAGAGGATAGGTGCTCCATACCCAAAACCATGCCTAGTTTTGACCAAAATCGCATGACAACTTAAGTTGTCATGTGATAGCTTAACTAATCTTATTAGTTATGGGGGCCTTCGGCCCATATTCTTTAAAAACTCATGCCCCTAGGTGTTGCATGGCCACTTTGGGCCTGATATTGTATGGCATAGAACTCCATAAAGGTCTCACACAAGTCGATGAGGATTTGATCCCACCTTTGAAAGAGATTGGGCCAAATTCACTGTTTAGGGCAGTGAACCCCTGAGCCAATTAGAATGGGCTCAGTTTGGACCCAATATTTACACCTAAATGATCCTTGGATTCAGCCACCCTGAAGATCCAAGGATAATGGACTTATGTAAGATAAAGTCTATCAGGTAATCATCCCCGTAATTGTCTCTTACACTTATCCTCTCAGTCTATAATCATCACTACACTGCCTGATAGAGAAGGAACACTCCCTTGGTTGCAAGGTGCAGTGTCACACTCTCTGCTCAGATGAATCCCGGGATTAAAACCTTTTGCAAACCTTTTTCATAAGATAATAATATAATATATAAATATATTTTGTAAAACCATATTTCAAACACAAGTGACATCCACTACCTGTAGTTTAGGTTTCCATTAGAGAGAGCATAAACCTTGATATTCACTTTGTCCGACAAAGGGGTCAATCCTATCACTATGATCACCCACTCAAGTAATTTCTGAAATTGCCCCAACATGCCCAAATACATTACCCTTGATGGATCTCACCGGTTGGCATATCAAAAGCAGCTCGGTCCACTACTTAGTGCAGTATCATAATCAGGTATGGGGTTATGTGCAACTTTCTAGTTTTGTCCATCTATCTCCAAGGTCCAGGGCATAACTAGAAATTGGTCCGAGTCCAGTGTTTCTTCCAAACACTCACTACTTGTTCTTTGGGTCTAACCCTAGTAGCTGAGACAAGCTACTCCAACTATTTAGCAGCACACTAGTGTCAACCTTGCTCCCCAAGTCTATCCAATGGCTGAAAACATTCTAAACCAACACGAGTCTCCCAAGTGTCCAGTTTACAAGGTAATACATAGAAATTATACCAATATAAACATGAAACAACAATATACCTTATTCATTTATAAATAAATGTTTATGTACATCAATTTGATTGGAGCTAAGGGCATACACTTTCTAACATGGGGTTTTGTGGCAACCTATGAATCCTTCTATCTCATCGGATGTGAGCTTGGTAAAACCAAACTTGGACTTATGCTTGGGCTAACGATGGGAGGTGGAGGCCCCTTTATGGGAATCTCATTGTTCTTGGGCCGAGGACCCCTCCCCAGTGTGAACAGCTCGCTGACCCTCCACCTTCAGACTCACTACTAGACGTTACAAAAAGAAAGGAAAGAGACTCACCAAAAACGCTATAAGTTTGATCGACCTTGCAGACTTCACCAACCATGCTGAGATTACCAAGCTCCCCATTGCACTACTCTCGCTCAAGACAAGGAAAATGCACCCCCAAGGTTGACTATTGACAAGTGGGAGGCCCGGCCTACCAATGATTGTGATTGGTTCAATCCGAAGACCCAAAATAATGTGTTGTTTTGAATTCCAAGAAACCTAAACTCAATTAAGCATGTTTTTTACATCCACAGTAGCCTAATGTAGCGTCACGTTCGCGTGTACCTGCCATGCSACCTATCAAAGGACCTTGTTCAAATGATTCCAGTCAAGCTCGATTCCCAACCTAAAGAAGCAGGTCATGAGAATGCTCAAAAGCTTGTCTTAGACGAACTACTTCCTTCAGCCGAGCCATCCACCTCGAGCTCGGAAGAGAGGGGCAATTGATGATGGTCGAAAGTTGTACATCACTCATTTGCTTCCAAGAAGGTTCATGCAGACCAAATGCACTCAAGCTCAATTGAAGGCAACTCAGGAGGACCAACCTGAGACGTCTGTCATCACCTTAGAGCGTCTGTACGGCCCAAGCACCTAATGAGTTATCCGACCTCATGGAGACCAACCTATGTGATTTTCCCGCCTTGTACAATTCAATCCATTTAATGGCCCCGGGATATTCAGAGGGCACTTCGCCCACGTAGCTATGGTTACATGAGTCTCTCCTATTCTTTGTGGCCCGTTACCTCCGAGTATGTCAGGGACATTCTGGCCATTCCAAGAGGCTTATATAAGGGTAGCTCCTCGCTCTCAAACGGTACGCTCTCAGAGGCCTTCTAGCTCTTACTATGTTCCACTTTGCTTTCAGCTCTCTCAGCTCGATACTAACTTGATCGATGAAGCCTCCTCACTTGGATCCATAACCCAAGCTCTCCAACGCTTCTCTTCTTCACAGATTCAAGGCATTCCACATCCAACTCACCACTCCAATAGGAACCAGTGCAGATCAAGCAACATCAGGAGTCATAGACAAGGAGAAGGCTCTTGCATCCCTCTATAGTTTATAAATAGGGAGCAATAGGAGGGAATCGARCCATGCAAGTTCTCCCCATCATTGCTGAAATTGATCCAACMATGTGAAACCTTTTTAGCTAGGGTTTTGAACCCCATCCGACCAGATTTGTTATTCAATCTTTCTAGTATTGTTCGAGACTTATTTTGGGTCAAAAATATCACCCAAACTCGTATGAAAGGTTGGGCCTTTGTTTCTGTAAATTCTGGAAAGAAAATCCAAAACTGCCAACACATAATTGCACCATCTTCAACTAGTTGTAGTGATTTGGAAGATTCAAACTTGCTGTGAATACTACTTTGATTTCTCTACTTGTGGACATCATAATTAGGTACTACATTCAATATTGATCCAAAAGATTTGATATTTCTTGGTCCAAGAACCCAAGAAAYTCTAATGCTCAGTCCAATACATTGCCATAATTCAGAATATATATTGCTTCAATTTAATTTGTTTTGGGAAATTTGGTTAGGTGTTTTCTTTGGTCTTATCCATTCACCATGTGACGTATAGTTTGACTTTAAGCCGATTGGATTACACAACTGTAATTGTTTAATTATTCTAAATTTCTTGGCATCCATATATGACCCCCCTTCTAACTTATTTGAAACATTTGGCATCATTGAACTCTTATTTGAATTCAACCGTCATTATTTCTGTATTATTTAGCACCATTCACTTCAAATTTAACTCTCATTAATTTATTATATTCATTACCGAAACCCTACTACTTCAATTAATTTATCCATTTTTTTATGCATTTGTTAGTTTATTTGTTAGCTATGTTTTTTTTTTTTTTTGCTTATTTGCTCATTGGCTGCGTTATTTTTCTTAATTTTCTACTAAAATTCTTTTTTTTTTTCAGATAATGGGTATATTAAAATTCCATTTTATTATCTAGTCTTGGACTTGTTCTTACCAAACTGTCCACGCCTTATGTAAGATTCCAATTCCACGGTTAAACCACTAAGCTTCGCATTAGGCCAATTTCTGATGTTGATGTCCCGCCACGACGTACGCCACAGACTAATATATAAATTTAGGGAAAAAACAGAAAAGTTCGTTATCACTACAATGTAGAGAAGTAGTCAACGAGGCAGGTAAGTAGACAACAACTAAGGAAATATTATGTGATGGAAATTAATACCGAGCTCTCTATATTGTTCTTCAGAATTTTTTACAGAAATTAATTGTCAAATCTATTAATCTAATTTACTGTGGGATAAAGTGTAGAGTAAAATGATTAAAAAACAAAAGTGTAGAACAGATCATTTGGGTCGTTCATTTTGAGTTGCTTGACTATAAGGCCAAATTGAGCCCGTTGGACAAGAATCTCGTCAGGAAATTGAAGACTTGTTTCGGTTTGGCAAGCCAACTGGTCTTGTCAAATTGTTAGGGAATTTTACAGTTGTTTCCCCCAAAAGAGCATTGTCAATTTGTCATAGTCTTCTCTGCTCCCAGATTCCTTTCTTTTCTGAGTTTTCTTCTCATTCTCGCTCCTTAGTTTCAAACTGTTTTCTGCCCGAGAACTCCACTCCCTCGTAAAAATCCACTCAAACAACTCATCTTGCTTTGTCTTTGTTCTTCCCTTCCAACAAAAGCAACCCCAATTTCCTGCCATAATGTTCTTCAGAAAGCTTCCATCCGTAGGTTTGATGGCGGACAGAGATAGGCACCCCTTCAAACACAAAGGAGTACACATCACATCCGTTCATACCCAGCTACTAAAGTACTTCCTCTACCTCTCTGTCTTGCTTCTCATCTGGTCTCTTCTGCTCTTCTTCTCCTCTCCCTCAAAACTCTTCAATTTTCATCAGGTGCAAGTCCAGCAGTCCGACGGCCATCCAGCACTTAACAAGGAGCCGATCTGCGATGGAAGCGTGTCGGTTTACGTCTACGAGCTGCCGGACAGGTTCAACCGTGGCCTCCTCCAGGACTGCCGACATCTTAACATCTACACTGACATGTGCCCGCACGTTGCCAACCGCGGCCTAGGCCAGCCGCTCGATAACATGGGCTCGAGCTGGTTCGCGACACATCAGTTCATCGCCGAGATGATCTTCCACGCACGAGTAGAGGCCCATCCCTGCCGGACTTTGGATCCCGACAGAGCGAATTTGTTCTATGTGCCCTTCTACGGTGGGCTCTACGCGTCTAGCAAGTTCCGCGAACCCGATCTGTCGGTSCGAGACACACTGGCGGTGGATCTAGTAGAGTACCTGGGTCAGCAGCCTTGGTGGCACAGATATCACGGCGGAGACCACTTCCTGGCTTTAGGGAGGACAGCCTGGGACTTCATGAGGAGCGAGGATGGACCCGACTTTGGTGCTAATTGTCTTCTCAACTTGCCACCTGTCATGAATATGTCGGTGCTGACAGTGGAGAGGCATCCGTGGCAAGGATCAAATCAGCATGGAATTCCGTATCCTTCTTACTTTCACCCCTTAAATTCCGAGGAATTGCTGACGTGGCAAAACATGATGAGAACCAGCAGCCGGCCCTACCTCTTCTCCTTCGTGGGGGCCCCACGAACCGGTGTAGAAAAGGCTGCCATCAGGGACGAGATACTGAGGCAATGCTCGGAGTCGACTCGGTGCAACCTCCTGAAGTGTGGAGTGGGGGCGAGTAAGTGCCATGAGCCAAGTGAGGTGCTCAATGTAATGACGAGGTCCCAATTCTGCATGCAAGCTCCCGGCGACTCGTTCACTCGGCGATCCACATTTGATTCTTTGCTTGCCGGTTGCATCCCCGTCTTCTTTTCGCCCCACACGGCATATTCTCAGTACGCGTGGTACCTCCCGTCCGAGTCGAGTAGTCAGTACTCGATCTTTCTGAGCGAGGAAAATGCAACGCGGATCGAGGAAGAGCTGCTTAATATTCCGGTGGACAGAGTGGAAAGAATGAGGAGTGTCGTGATTGACCTGATCCCTAAGCTTACATATGTGCACCCTAACGCGACCGATTGGAGATTCCGTGATGCCGTTGACGTTGCTCTGGCGGAATTGGCGAAGCATGTGCAATCAAAATTACTGATTGCTTGAGTTCCTGATCCTGCAYGTTTGAATTTCTAGGTTGTGTTTGGTATCATTTTACTTCTCCTTGCAATAAATGTTTTATATTGGTCAAAATAAATTTTAAGATTATATATTTTTTATACAAAAAAAAGATTTTGAGATATCAATACAATACAATGTTCGGTAATATTATTAGTTTGAAACCAATATATTATAAATGCTAATATCCAATCCAATCACTATATTTATATTTTTAGTCGAAATGGTTATTTGATGTAATATGCATGATAAGATTAATTACTCAAAAAATTGTATTGATTAAAAGTAGAAATTGCAATGATACCAAACACAACTATAAATATTGTCCGTAGTTTTGATTATAGGGTTTTTAATTGTTCAGTCCCTTAATTAATTCTATATACCAAGGTTTTTAAATTGAATCGGATAACGAACCGGTCAGGGGTCCGGTTTTTAGGTCAAATGGTTCAATCATTCAAACCGAATGAATGGCTTATTCTAGAAAAAAATAAATAAAATACAGTCAAAACCGTTGAACAATAACTGCCCAGAGCAGCGATTTACTGACTAAATCAATGTTTTTTTGTCAAAATTCCGGTTTTGAAAAAAAACAGTCAGTTTTTCTGATCAACCATCCGATCCGATTGTGAAAACCATGCTATATACAACTTTTGAGCAGCATGCCCCCTTCTTCTCCGATTAAGCAGTTTTAATTCTTAATTTTATAAATGCTAATAAAAAATTTCTTAATTTTATAAATGGAGTAAGGTACAGTGGGTAGTTGTTCTGATTGAGAAAACACTATCTTGCTTACATGGAAATTATACGGTGGTCTTGTGTTCTTTCTTTTTGTTATTTTCTTCTTTCAAATTGTTACTTATGACTTATGTATGCCTTTTCTCTTGATATATTTTATAACGTACATATTTTATCTTTCTCAGTTTCTCTTGATTGAGAATATATATTGTTTGTTCTCTAGTCCGGAGCAAAATAAGCGTGGTCCTTTGGGTGGGGTGAGTAGAAAGAATATGCTGTCTCCGGGGAGTGGATTAGGACAGGAACAAACAGCATGTTGATGCTTTCGTGGGTGACCCTACAGTGTCGGCCAGATAATACCTTCCCAGTAGTGAACATAGAAAGGAAAAATGGCGTTTCTGTCTACCAAATGTTGCTTGTCAGTTTCCTCGATGTGTTCATTGACCAATTATGGTTATTGGAATCTGCGATGGGCCATCATATGAGAAGTTTGAGCCCTTTCCTTTTCTCTTTCTATGTTTCGTTTTTCCTAATTTCACCCTCCAATTCTTGACTATTAAAGCCTTTTTTCAAGCACATATATCTATGTATGTCATTTTTAAGCTCACTGAAACGCGAAATATCAAAATTAGTTTTCTTTTATATGTTTTATGGTTTTCAAAATCGGACTGGACCTGAAAGTCGGACAAAAAAATTGGGAACTGGTTAAGTGATTTGTTCCGATTTCCCCCAAAATCAGATTTTTGTCAAAAAAAAAATTGATTTTATTAGCAAATCGTTGAATCGGGCAATTAAACCATTCAAACTATTTAAYGGTTTTGACTATTTTTTATTTTTTAAAATTTTTATTTTTTATCAAAACAGGTCATTCGTTCGATTCAAATGGTTAAACCGTTTGACCTGAAAACCAAACCCTTAACCGATTCGTTGTCTGAATCAGTTTTAAAACCTTGATATGTTTAAATGCTAGAAACCCCTCCTATTGTATCCATTATGTAATTATGGGACTGATGAACAAAGTAAAAAATTGTGCAGTGTTGTACGTTTTAGATGCTAATACTGGAAGTTTTAGTAATACGTTGATACTATGAACGTTGACGGAAGATAAGATTATGACTTGTGTAATTTACTAATTCAGCCTTCGATCTATATCTATGGGAGATATGTGTCGGGGTTCAGGGTTGAGAGGTCGGTTCGAACTGGAAGGGGTTCAATAGTCCGAGCTGGTTCCTGCAAGAGTAACGGATTTTTAGGACGGGAGAACCTGGAGGAGTTAACGGCTTTGATCTTCCTTGCTCTGTTCTCTTTAATGCGGTGAATTGGGGTATTTATAGCCCCAACGACCCGGATCTGAGCGTGCCTCACAGTATAAATCCTCAGGTGAAACCTTTAATAATTATTTTGGAAAGGTATCAACGATTTGGAAATAAAACCGTTTTAGCCACCTATTTTTGGGCTGATGATTTGACCATTCAGTTCAAATGAACAATTTATTCTGACAATAAAAATTTTAAAAATAAAAAGTCAAAAATCGTTAAACAGGCGATAATTCAATTGCTCAGATCAAACAGGTTATTGATTCAACAATTTTTCATCAGAGATCAGATTTAGAGTAAAATGAAACCGATTGATTGAATGATTTCTGGGCCAAATGATCTAATAATCTGGGTCAACCGCGGTTGGAAAACCATGTACTGTTAGAGGCCTTTCCAAAATAATTAATACCACCTCTGCATGCTGCATGCCTAAAAATGGTTTGATCCTGGTGCGTTCATATCTCATTAATTAAGCTCAATAAATGCAATCACTAACCCTCTCCAAGCATTAATTGCATAGTGGCATGGCAATTTACGTGGCATGACCGCACACCCTCTCTAAGCATTAATTCTATCATGTCTTGGAAACCTTGTTTGAGGAGTCCTACAGTCCTACCAAGGGCTACAGTTAGTCTGCATATCTTGTGAATCTTAATGATTTAATCATGGTTTTCAAAATCGAATCCGATAGAAAAAATCGGAAACGGTCAGATGATCGGTTCTATTTTACCTTAGAATAGTTATTTCTTCAAACACTGTTGATTTGGCCAGTAAACCGTTGGTTCAAATGATCGAAACATTCGAACTATTCAACATTTTGATTGTTTTTTGTTTTTTTAAAGTTTTTTAAATTTTTTTGTCAAGCCATCTGTTGAGTTCGAACAGTCGGACCTTTCGACGCGAGAACTGGGCCTGACAGGTTCTTTGTCCAAYTCGATTTTAAAAACATTGGATTCAACCATCTCTTGATGTCAACGTCCTCCACATTTATTTTGGGCAGGACACGTGGGTGTATGATGTTCATTCGATTGATGGGACGATTCAAGGGAGAGAGAGAAGAGAATGGTGTGACTGTCATTTCAGAGTTCATTATCTGACTATTTTTCAAGGATGATGCACCTTGGGTCACGTTCGAACTAATTTTTGTGGGATAGTGAACCCATACGTGAGATAGTCCTCTTGGGGTGGTGAGCCCATGCTCAAGTTTCTTTGGTTGGCAAACCCACGCCGGAATTAGCCCTCTTTTGGGTGATAAACTTATTCCCATGTTAGCGGCCTCTTTGAGTGACAAACCCATGCCCAAGTTAGCCCTCTTTGAGTGGCAAACCCATGCCCAAGTTAGCCCTCTTTGAGTGGCGAGCCCATGCTTGAATCGTTGTACAATCTTTCCGAGATGTCACTTTGCATTCGTCGCTTACATCCATTATAGCCTCTCATGCGTACAAGTATGGGACCTAAGAGAGATAGGACCCCACCTGCCTTTCACAACAGCTTAAGTTATCTGATGAGGTGACATATGGCAGCTCCCTATTAGAAGGCAGCTCAAATGTCGAGTTGGCGAGTTTTTCGGGTCGATTTGCAAAAAGACAGTATCAGAGTACTCAGGTTGTTTTACTCGAGTCGGGCACTTTGATGCTTAAGTCAGCGAAGTATATTAGAGAGCTAGAGCATTGTGAGAGCTAAATTGTGCATACCTTCTCTAAGGGAGGAGACACCTTTTTATAGGCGTAAGAAACCAAGAGCTTCTTGTAACGCGTCCGAGATTTCCGGGAAACTATGTCCACCAAGTTCGGAGGAGACCTCTCAGTCGGATATGTGATCCACACAGAGGGATAAGGTTCGTCCGATCAACTCCGATGCACACGATGCAGAAAGACAGGTTTAACGGTCAAGCATCATGATCCTAGAGAAGTCGGTGACGGTAACTTACTTAATGGGGAGATTCGACAGGCCGCTAGCTGAACTCAGGTTAGGTCAATAGAAACAGGTCACCTCTCATGCTGATCTGACGTATTGGTGGGACCAGGGTAGTTTGATGGAAGCAGGTCGCATCATACACCGACCTAAGATCCCCATCTAGCTATTCGCAGTTTGGTCTACCGGGGTGGCCCCGAGGCCGCTGATGTAGTTATAAAGTGTCCGAGGTGATCTACTTATGTTGGGCCGAGGTGATCTGCTTACGTGGTGTCAGGATGTTCTGCTATAGTGCCGAGGTGTCACCCAATTGTTCTAAGATGCCATGTGTCATGATGTCATTGGAGGACCAAATTACCCCTCATCAATTGCCCCCACTCCCGAGACAAGGTCGGTTTAGCGAAGGGAGTAGCTCACTATAGGTCCTTGGCCCAAAATGACTAGTTCAATGAGCTCGTAGGTGTTAGTCCAGTTTGCTCCTCAAGTCAGAAGTGTCTAAGGGTTGAATGTAGCATTACGCAGGACTTTGCCATCTTGATTATCGGGGCACAGGAGCAAACTCATCTACTCAAGGAGAGGCGGAGCAGGCACTCCGAGGACATCTTCCGTACTAGGGATGCAACTATTCAGGAGTTCTGCAATTCGACCAAATACCTCAAGAGCAAAGTTTGTCATGTCATCATGAAGAGGGGCTTCAAACTACATGACTGCCTCCTCAAGTTGCTCCACTTATGTATACTTCAACACAATGTCCCTCAAGTAAGTCCTCGAAGGAGTAGCCAACAAGGTCGATGTGGAGCTTGAAACTGAGGTAGAGGATTGTGAAAGCCAAGTTTGTATGCCTGCCGAGGTGTTGAAAGCAAGCTAGTCTTCCTTCGAACCAAAGTACATTTAGGTCGTTGTGCAACAAAGTGGACTAACCAATTAGGGTAGTGTCAATGTCAAAATGCTGTCGAGCTAATTAGATGGGGGCTAACATGCATAGATTGGTTGGCACATCTTGAGGTCGGCTTGCAATACATCTTTGGCCCAAAGTTATTAGATCTTGTTTGTCCCTTTATCATAGCTCGGCAACTCGGTGTTCATGACAA